ATGAAAATCAGTTACATTTTTAAAAACTTTTATATGTAACATGTGTTTGATTTTTTGTGTAATATTTTTTTGGTTAATCTACTTATATAAGAAATGATCTACGTTCACCCTACCCTTAATAGTTTAGAAATTTGTATTAATATAAATCAAAAAATATCTAATAAATCAAAGTAAATTAGATTAGATCGCTATAATTTAATGTAAAGTACATATATTATATTAATTTGATAGAAACATTTGAATTAATAAATAATATTATTAAAAGACATTTAAAAATTTAGAAATTTATTTTAATATAAATCGAGAATCTATATTTACATTAATCAAATCGCATTAGACCGCAATAATTTAAGAAATGTAAAAATATCGTATAAATTTGATAGTACTTATTTTTACTATACATTATTTTAATATAATGAGTATATTAGCTGTGTGGTAATACTAAAAAAAAGTCCATTGTAGTGCTGCGGCTCTACAATAGTCTTTTTTTTATACTCAAAAGCAAGCTTTTGAGCATTACTGCACAGCTCTGAATAAAATTAAAGAACTCTAGATTTTTACAAAAGTAACTTGTATATTAAAATATCATTAAGATATTCATAATGATGATTGGACAAGTTTTTCTTACAAAGATATTCAAAATAAATAATATAATAAATTTTATTAAATAATTTTTAATAATAATATTAAAATATATACAAAAATAATAATAACTATTAAATTGAATTTAAAAATAATTACATGAATTTATAATTTTTAAAATTCTTGTAAAGAAAAAATAACAAATTCTTTACTTCAAACCATTCATCTCCTTCTGGCCAATTAGTATCAGAGTTTTCAGTATCAATAGCCTCAATATTAACAATTCTTGTTGGTTTAATTTAAAAGTTGTTAATATATCTTGATTGTTTTAAAGCGCCAAAGAAACAACTTCTGAAACAAGAGGAGATTCTTTCAAGGTATTAGCAATTTCATCTCTAAATTCTTCTTTGAATAAGCAGAGATAATAAAATCCTGGAGTCTCAGGTGTAGCAAATTCATATACTATTTTTTCAAGCTTATTTTAATTTAAAATTTTATAAGCAATATTTTTAAATAAAAAAGAAAATTTTCTTGATAGCATTAATAGATAAAATTTTGTAGTTGATTTTTAATTAAATAGCACCACAACCAAATATTAAATATAATAAATATTAAATATAATAGCATGAAAATAAAAAATAGTTCTTTCATATTAATGAATTTAAAAAAAATATTTGGTATATCAAATTCTTCAATATAGAATATTAAGGAAAAATAAGAATAATAATAATTAAATAGATGAAAAATTACATTTTAAAGATTTGTAAGTGATTTTATTAAAAAAAGTTGATAAAAAAATAAGAATTTTTGAAGCTCAAACAAACTTCTTTAATAAATAATTTTGTGATTGACAATTTATATTGATATTAATTTTAATATATTTATTAAACTGGTTTAAACTGGTTTTCTTATTTATTGATTTGAGAACCAATTAAAATTGAATTTGCTATTATAATTTTAAACCAATTAGAATTGTGATTTTCAAATATATTATATATTGTAAAAATTTAAACTAGATAATATAAATAAAAAATTTTATTTATATATTATTAAAATTATATAATATTTAAAATAAAGCGTATATTATAATTTTATTTAATTAAATTTATTTATATTATTTAAAATAAAATTTTTATTTATATTATTTAGTCTAAATTTTAAATTAAATAATATAAAATAAATTTTTATTTATATAAAGTATTTTAAAATTACAATAAAAAAATATAAAAAATATATTATTAAAGTTTGTTTACAATTTTTTTTAACCATTTATCAATCTTGTTTTTTTCTTTGATTAATAATTTTAATTTATTCAATTCATTATCACGAAGCTTTAACTTTTTTTTTAACTCATTGTTTTTTTGTATCAAACTAACAATTAAATCCCCCATATTAGCAGGTTTGAAACGAATATAGGCAATATTATTTCTAATACAATTTTCACACTTTTTTGTGTTTTCTTTTTTAATACATATTCTTTTTTTTTCGACACAATATACAAGCTGTAAATTCGGTGAAAATTGGTTTTGAATCTTTTATTATTTCTGGAAATTAAAGTAAATTTTTTGTTTTTTCAACTTATTTTTATATTTAATCTGATCTTTATATGTGTTTAAATATTTTTTATTATATAATAAACATAATAAAAAATTAAAATATAATTTATTATAAAAAACATTATATTAAAATTTTTATCTTAATGAATATATTTCAATTATACAAAAATAATTCTGCATTTTTAACAACTTTTAGCAAAATTTTAAGCTAAAAACATGTTTTTACTGAAAATTAATTAAAAGTTAAAAAAAAATATTAAATTATTAACATAATAAAGTAAAAAAATATAAATAATGTTCAAAATTTAAATTTATTAATTAAAAAATAAATTAAAAAATGAAAGTTCGTAAATTGAATTCAAATAATTCTTCAGGACATACAGGTTTATTTTACTGTAATACAAGACAGAGATGGACTATAATAATTTACAAAAATAAAAAATTAATACGAAGGTTCTTTAAAGGTGATAAAGATAATATGGAAGTTAAAAATAAAGCAATCAATTTTCTGAATAAGTTAAATTCTGAAAAATAAAATACACAACTACACATCGATCACATAAAGGCGATTGACGTCTCTCTTGGCCATTTGGCCTTATGCGCAACACAAGATCTCGATACGCACTCGTGCAAATCTCGATCTGGCTCAAAAAAAATGTGTGGCCCACCTCTACTCACAACACCAACAAATCACCCCTCACCACGTTCGTGGTGATTAAAAAACAAATTAATAAATAAAAGAAATAAATAAATAATAAATTTGATTAATTTTATTTAATATAATAAAAATACAAAATTCAATACTGTAATTTGTATTAATGAAAAATTTCTTTTAAACAAAGTTCTAGACTTAAAATAGAAATAAGTAAATCAGGCCTGAATCTATAATAAATATAATTAAAATAATTATATGCAGATAATTTTAATGATAATTTAATTACGTGTTGATTTTTATCTGTTGAATTTAATATCCCTTCATGAATCTTGTTATATTTAACGATCACATGATTATTATCCTTCATTTTTTCTTTTTGACATTGAAAAATAATATCATTAATATATTTTATAATTTTTTGATACAGGAATTGATCCTTAATACTAATTTTACTTGTAACCACACTAAAATCATATTTGTTATAAATAATTTAATTTAATCATTTTTTCGTATACTTTGACAATTTTCTTTGAGATGAGATTTGAGATTTCTTGTTCAACTTTGGTGTATTAGAAATAAATTTTTACTTGAAGCTCGGAATAAATTTCCTATCTTGGAATAAAATCAAATCTCATCGAATCTCGTCAAGCCTTTTAGGATCATTTTTGTGTTTGTTTTGTTTAGCAATATGCTTGAAGAAAAAATTCTAATCGTGCAATTGATTTTAAAAGAAATAGATATTCATAATAAAGATGTGGCTTAAAATCAAATTTTGAATATTTAACTGATAAATTGATTACATATTTGTTTGGATCTGTTGACTTTGATTTTGTCCAATATAGTTTTATATTTAGTAAAAACATTACTAGAAGTCATATAACTATAATAGTTTTTAATTATTTCTTTTATTATAGATTTAAAAATCAGATACAAATCAGGGTCATTAATTGACTTAATAAAAATGATCTGCCTATTTTTATCTAAAAAATTTCAATCTTTGTTTTTTAAAATTTCATTGGCCGATTTTTTAATATTCATTTTGAATAGAAAATAAATTAAAGAAAAGAAATACACACCCTATTTATATATTTTTTAAATTGATATAATTTATTTATGAAAATTTAAATTGCCAAAAAGACATATTGTTTAGCATAATTTTGCTAATAAAAATGATAAAACCATCCGAAGATAAATATGTTAGCCAACACATACTCGATAATGCGAAGTTTGTCATACCCCATGACAAAGTTGTATGCGATCGAAAGAAAAAAGATGGTTAAAGTATAAATTTTTTTAAAATATTTGTTTTCTTTAATTGATGTGCAATACATTTTAATGAAATTTAAAATGTTTTGAATTATAATATTATTAATTTCTAAATCATCCAAAAAATTAAGAAAAATAATATCGTTTACTTTTTTTTCAAATGCAGCAAGGTTTCTGTTTTGTATAGCTGTTCTCGATTCAGAGCATCAATTGTTACAAGTTTTAATGAATCAATTAGTTTGTTTAATTCGCGAATCTGATTTGACAGGTTGTCATTAGTGTTTTGCAGCTCTAAAATTTAATTACGTAATTGAGTATTTGTATGAATTAACTCCTTATTGTCAGCCAATAAAGCAATATTACGTTAAAATGGATTCATTAAAAATATTTTATTTAATAATCAAAGATATATTTATAGATAATTATAATTATAATTAAATAATAAAATACAAAAAAGAAAACTAAATATTTTTAATTATCTTCTGTGCCAGAATCTATATCATTTTTGCTTTTTTAGCAGAACTAGAATCTGAATTATAATCTAACTCTCCATCTGAATTATCTTCATAAAATTTATTTTTACTAATTAAATACTTATCAGACTCATAAATGCGTTTGCTGTTATTGTTCAAAAATTCTTGATGATTTATCTGAATAGTTGCTTGATTAATAACTTTGGATTTGCCTTTCTTTTGCCTTTTTGTATATGACAAATCATCTGAATGAAGCTCAGAAAATTCAGATTCTAATTTGCTAAAATTTTCTGAATAGTTATTTTGTTGAGTTGTTGAAGATTCTATCTGTGGGTCTGATACATAATCCAGCTAATAGTTGTTTTGTTGAGTCGTCAAAGATTCTATTTGCGGGCTGATTCATAATCCAGCTAATAGTTGTTTTGTTGAGTCGTCGAAGATTCAACCTGAGGATCTAATTCGTAATCTGTTTCAATTCCATTATCTGATTCAACTGTTGTATGAAATTTTTTAAAAATTTGATTTGTTTTTGGATTAATTTTTTCTAATTTTCTTTTTTTTGAGTTTTCAACTTTGTGTTTGTAGTCTGATAATTCCTTGCAACAGGAATAATCACTCAAATATTTTTTTTTAAATTCTGGAAAATTCTGATACCAATATACTTGATTTTCTTTAATTATCACAGTTCCTTCTACATCTTTATTAAGATCTTGTACAATTTTTGTTAACTCATCAGTTGTATATTCACTCTTTTTATATTTCAAATCCCAAATCATATTACGAAAATCTAATTCTGTACCCTTGTGAAATATTAATTCTGTTGTACATTTCTCAATAACATTATGCCATTCATCTTTAAACTCAATGACAAAATCCAATTAACGAATAAATTGGTCATAACTTCACTTATTATCATCTTCCCTTCTTGCTAGCTAAAGTTAAAAGCTTCTTCAGGACATTTTTTGCTAGTTATGAAAATGTATTTTGCAAGAAATAAAACAAATCCTTTATGTTTAATTTTGACTTCCTCTAGAGTATCATTGAGATAACTGACTATATCACCCCATTTAACCTTAGTATACCATTCATCCAAAAAAACAATTTCTTGTTTCTGATAGCCATTCCACCAATTAGATCCTGATCTTTGTTTCTTTTTTTTCAAATACAGCTCTGAACCAAATAATTTTTGTATTAGATGCGATTTTCCAGCACCACCAAAACCATAAAAATAAAATATTACCGGTTGCCAGAATCTTTGTAATTGAATATTCTTTTTCTTTTTTCATATATTTTTAATTGCTTCATGTACAACATAAATATTTTTTGGATTATTTAACAACTATTGAGGATTATTTTTCACATATTTGACAACAGCTTCATCACCAAATAAATCATTTTCAACTATATCCTCCATTAATTCAACTGCTTTGTTTAGTTTCATTTGATTTATTATTATTTTTAAATTCATTTTCAAATTTAGCTTTATTATAAACAAAATCAAATGGCTCCGCAATTAATAGATCTTCACTTATTTGAGCAAATGTTCTTATACACTTTTCATCACAAAATTTACAAAATTTTGTAAGGTTGTAAAAATCACATTTACACTTTTTGCCTTTTTTAGAATTGCGATTATGTTCTGGATTTTTATAATGATTAAATAGTTTCCACAATATGCTAAGCATTCATTATTTGTTCCATTCGCAAATTCAACATGAAGATTTGCTTGAAAATATCCTTTGATTCCAGAACCTTTCTTTGTTAAAGAATTATAGCTTCCAAGCAATAATTATTTTCCTTTATATAATTTAGCAAAACCTTGTGTATAATATTTTCCAGGTTCTGATGATTCATCATTCTTTTTAAATTGAAATCATAACTGAGAGAAAGGACATGATTTTGTATTAAAAATTTGTATTATACAGTCATGAATTGTATCAAGCCTTTCATACAATGTAAAATTGAATCTTCAAAATTTTGAGTTTGGAGTTATTGGCATTTTTAATTTACATAATTTAAATTCTACTAGGTATTTTAATACTTAGTAGAAAAGTTTATTAATTTTAAATAAAAAACATTTTTAAAAAAGCTGTCAGAACAAAAATCGTGTTTTACATAAAATTTTACTAATAAAATCACTTTAATGACATTAATAAAAGTTATAAAACAGACAAAAAAATTTTAGTTACATAAGACTATTTTGATTATTATATTAGTAAATGTATCAAAACATATATACAAAGTGATCTGCAAAGACTATATAGGTGTTTTCTTAATGAAAAAATTCAAGATTTCAACCAATATTTGTCCAAAACCTCCCAAACTTCACAGGAAAAATTCTATGTATCATCCCAACTGACATGTGAAATTTGAGCATACATTAACATGTAGGTTCTTGAAATCTGGAATAAAACTAAGAAATTTTCTGTAACTTCATCAAAATTTTTGTATCTAAAAAGAATTATGAAAAAATCTAATAATTTTGTCAATATTGATGCTAGAGTGCTTAATGTTTAGCTGCAAATAGATAAATATCTTGTCAATAATCGCTATTAATACATGTTTCTATGTTTCATTTCACCAAATACCTTCCAGAATTGATTTTCTGCAAGAGAAAATTAAAGAAAAACGTAAGTATCTATTTTTCACAAAAAATCAAATATCTCTGTGAATTTCTGTCTGTTTTGCATGAAATTTGAGATTTAATTTGTCTGAGATCTATTCTAGAAGTGTACCTAGAAACATTTCTGAGGTTAACATAGAGAATCTTTAGATAAAGATCACCGGAGATAGGGCATTTTCTGAAAACGTATAGAAAAACATAGACGTTCAAAGGTTTTTAGTAATTTTGTTAGTAAATAATCAAATTACTTATTTTCTTTTGAAAAAAATTTTTTATTAAAGAAAATATGAATAACTAGTTCGAAGAACTTTGTATTCTGGGTTGAAAAAATTTTCTGAGACGCTCAAGAGAATAGCTTATCCTTTTATAGTTTTTGTATTTTTTTTTAACCAATCAAATTTATCAAATTATGACTCACTTAATTTAGGCCGGTGA